TTCTTTTTTTTTTTTTTTTTTGAGACAGAGTCTCACTATGTAGTTGAGACTTACCTGGAACTCACTATGTAGCCCAGGCTGGTCACGAACTCACAATGATCCTCCTGCCTCAGCCTCCCGAGTGTTGGATTACACGCCTGGCTGATATAGTACTTTCATCTTGGCTTATTGCTTTAATTAACTGTTCTAATACCTGGCATCTGTACTTTCTCCAGCTTAGCTCAGCTCTTGACAAATAGATGTGGTATTCTATTTATATATTAGTTATGTTATACTATTTGATATAGTTTTATAAATTCTCCATTGTTACTGATTTTAATTGATTTGTTAAATTATTTACTGAATGGAAGATGTTAAATTTTCTGTGCTTTTATCTTTTCCTTTATTTGTCTATTTTTGTTCATGTATTTGAATCTTTGCTGAAATCTCTGCATATTTAAGATTGCTATGTCTTGATGAATTGATCTGGATTATCTCTAGTATTGTTTTTTTTGGTCCTGAAGTCAATTTGTTTTATATTAATTCAGGCACACAAGCTTTCTTATGCTTAGTATTTGTATGGTATATTGTCTTTATCATTTTGCTTTCAACCCATCGATATCTTTATATTTAAAGTGTGTTTCCTATAAATAGCATGTAGTTGGAAGTTGATTTTTACAAATCTTGTCTTAACATTCTGTTTTTATTGGAATGTTTGGACTGTTACAGTTTAATCCCTGTCAGGGACAGGAGCATCTCCATCACATTCAAGCCCTTATAAGAGCTTGGGCACTTCTTGGATTTTAATTCATTTAAATTTCTTTGTGTTCTCATCGTCCTGTCAAAAATAAAAGAAATTGTGGTTTTTACAATCATACATGAAAATTTTTTGGTTGTTAGAATGGGCATATGACGTTCTGTGTCATGATTTCTATGGCAGAATTCTACGTGTAGAAGTAGAATTAGAATTTGCAATTAAATATATATTGAGCACATATCAATAAATCTTTGCAGGGACAGTGATTCTGTATGAGATGTTGTAAAGATATGTGTGCTTTTCAGTGTTAAAATAATGAGAACCACAACTGGAAAAATATGCCTATAGTTTTCAAGGTTTGAAACCTCACATAAAGCTTTTTATGTAAATTTTTTTCTAACTGCTGAATGTATCTATTTTCCTATAATGGATGGTTTTACTTATTAAATGAATCATACATGAATGAGCTATGGTTTGATTGAGAAAAGATTGTACTTTATTTTGTTCAGAAATTTACTGGTTTGTTTGATTTTTTTTTTTTTTTTTTAGCCATTTCAAAAAGTCACAGCACTGATGACACTTCTTGCAGTATTTGACTTTCTGATAGCAGATACTTACAGAAGACTCTATCTATGCATAATGTGTTTCTGTTTATTCTACACATATACATATTTAGTCTTTATTTCAAAATGCCCAAATGTCAGAAATATTTAGTTGAATATTGTCATAAATTAAAGTTTGTTCACTATAAGTAGTTGTACATATAAACATATAATTATTTATACCTCCTCATATAGCTATGTATGCTCAATAATATACTGAAATGTAACAGCTGGTTGTTGTTTTTCATGTAATATGTAAAATTGTCATGTTGTCCATAAGTTTCATTTCAGAAAAATATAAAGATGTTATATTTTCATTTTGTATGTAGAGAACATTGAGTTAGAGTGAGAGCCAGCACCTGTACCTGTCCCTTTTTATGTGTATTTATGGGGTGGGGACAAGAGACAGGAAGAAAAGATCAATAAAGTTAATTACAACTATATCATTTGGGGCCTTGCAAAAAACCTGGTCTCATGGTTCTGTTTTCTCCCTCCAGTTCTGCCTTTTCCAGGCCCTCTGCTTCTCTAACATAGGAGCCCAAAAGAAGATTGATCATTTCTTGAAGCTCTAAAAACCATGTTTCAGGTGAACAGTTTTTTTTTACTCTCTTTAGTTGATTTTTTACAAGGTATGTGTATGTTTAAATTCCTTATTCCTAAAACTTCCTAACTTTATGCTCTCCATTTTGTTCCATTTTTGTAAGTAATATCTTTCATAATTATGTCTATCTAATCTAACTTATATTTATGTACTTATTCAACATCTTTTTGACTAGGAGCACTAATATAACAAAAGCAATTTTCTCTGATTTTATTAGATAGAGAAGAATAATAAATGATACCACATATGAGAAATCTTTGAATTTCTCTTTAAACCCAGGTTTCCCAGTTAGACAAGACAGGAATTGGTCTTGACCTGCTTTCGTCTCAGTATCTTGCAAGAGCTCATGTTTTATAAGTTTTTAATGTTATAAATACGAGTGTAGTATGGACTGAATACAGAGATATGAAGTACTTCTCTAGGAATATACAATTCATTAATACCAATAGTTGGATCATTTTGAAATTGAACATGTGCTGATCTTGAATGAATACATTTGAGTTATTTTCTACTTTTCTATTGCTTAGGGTGAGAAAAAGATACATTTAGAAGTGGGAAATAATTACTAAAAAAAATCATTTACCCAAATAACTAATTGAGAATTTCAAATCTAAGAAATGTTAGAAACTAAGAAGTACTTATGGGGGCCTGGGATTTAGCTCAGTGGTTCTGTCATCTGCCTTGCAAGCACAAGGACCTGAGTTCAATCCCCGGTACAAAAAAAAAAAAAAAAAGTACTTATGAGTTCCTGTAATCTAAAATTTTCAAATATAACTACTTATTAAGTCAGATATATTCATTATATGGAGCTGTTCTATAGCCTGTAAGAAAGATTAATTAAATTACTGATGACACAGAAAAATGTTTATGATGTAATATTCTGAAGTAATGTTGAATAGAGGCTTTAATAAATTCCTTAATACCGTACAGATCTTACAAGATTTTACAGAAAAATTCCTCAGTGATTTTTTTCTATTTGTCACATAGAAAAGAAAGAGAAACAAATTTTTACTGAGAATGTGTAATATATAACACGTATATTACAAAGCTCTTATATATGCTATTTCTTTAATTAGAACATTACATTTACTTTGTTAATTCCCAGGCTTATCTGTATCCTGAGCTGTTTGATATACAGAAGATGTCTATAACAAGATTAGGAACATGTTAGCTCTTCAGAATCACCAGTTTCTTTACTGTCTCCCAATGTCAAAAGCTTACCAGTTTGTTTGCTCTATAACCTTCTCTTTGTAGCCTCTGTGGCTTCTATTAGCCTTCATTATTCCCCTCATTTCACCCTCCATTGAAAAAATACTTTCTTTATTTCTGCCACTATTATTACGTTTCTTGTTTCAGAGATCAGTGATGTTCAGGGATGTTGCCATTGATTTCTCTCAGGAAGAGTGGGAATGCCTAGACTCTACTCAAAGGGATTTGTACAGAGACGTGATGTTGGAGAACTATAGTAACTTGGTGTCACTAGGTAAGGCTATCTGACCCTTGTGTCTCAGGATCTACTTTTGGTATGGCTGATTTCTCTGCTATTACTTCAAAGTTAACTTTTTAATTTTTTTTGCAGTACTGAGGATCGAACCCAGAACCTTGTACTTGCGAGGCAGGCGGCACTGTGCTATATCCCCATTCCTCAAAGTTAACTTTTAAAGTAGACTAAATTTATTATTCTCAAAGAAATGATTTGACATTACTGAAAAATAGGCATAGACAAGGCACCTTTATCTTCTCCATCCTTCAAAAGGCTTTTATACTACCTATGATACTTGCCTTTTACCAGCCTCCTTAATTACCACTGAATTAGATTTGAATTCTGGGACACTTGCAACACTGTCAGAAAACAACAGACTATATGTAGTTAAACTTTAGATCTGCTGAGAGAGCCCTAAATAACTCAGGAATACAATCACAAATTTTAAAAAAGCAAATGTGGACACGTGTAGTTTTTTCCTTAAAAGGAGTTTATATCCTTTGTATAGTGATAGAGTGTACATATATGTATCTATCTATCTATATTTTTTTCAACAGAGCAGCACAAATAAAATGAGTTTTAAACTACTCCTTGCCCTCAAAAAACTACCCACTCCCAAACATAAATTCCTTATTCTAAAAACAAAATAAATAAAAAATTTCAAATTGCCTGCTGTTTTTCTACAAAAAAAAAGGCAGAAAAAGTTACTGTTTTCTATGTCGTTAATCACTTCCTTCTGATTCATCCAACCTCTAGAAATTGCTTTCAGCCAAGGATGACACTGACCTGGGTCGTGGGTCCTGGGATCTAGAAGAGCCCTTCTGGCCACACGCAGGCTCTTCTCCCACCATCGCTGATGGGGGCAGAATGCTCTCCACACTCTGTTCTATTACCATAAGCAATGCGGGTCAAAATCATAGGCCACCTGGCAAGGAAAACTCTTTGTCTCCCTGCTGAAAATAAACAATCCTTTTTGTCTCTAAGCACTATCTTAACTAAACAGACACATTTTATGAGGGAGAGCTTTCCTGATGCAGATTTGTCATGCTTTCTGTCCATGCCCACTGACAGTCTCCAGTGTAAGCTTCGAACCAGGATGTCAGTGAGGCTGCAGCAGAGGAGATCATCCCCCCTATACTGCTGCTCAAGATGGGTGGGGGACATCTGGGTGCTATGGCTCTAGGAGATTTCCACAGCTCGGAAGGGATGGTGACAGAGTACATTTTACTAACAACTCAAGTGACTACAAGCCATCACTTAAACACTTTCTTTTACATGTGTTTAAAAGTTGAATATAATATATTAAGAACTTTGCATTCTACATTAAATAAATATACTGGAATCACGTTTTATTAGAAGATGGCTTGGGAAAAATCTTTGATTATCTAAGAAAGTTTATTGTTCTTCTTTTAGCATTTTAATAAAGGATAGATCCTATATCAATTAAAACTTTAATTAGTGATTTACCCACCTAGGTTATCCCTTTACTTCTGGTACTCCTTATATCATTGAAATGTAACTGTGTCTTCCCCTTCATTTCTTTTTCCCCTGAAAGCTTAGTTATTGATTGTACATTTCCCCAAATGGCCTAAGTTGTATAGGAAAAAGACTATGGCTTAAGAAGAAGCCTTTCAGTTTGTCTCCATAAGGAATCCCATCTAACCCCTACTTCTTTTTCCTGGTCGTTTTTTATTATATAGTACTTCCACTTTCGAAGGAAACATTATGTCTTGAGGAAAGTGAATAATCCAAAGAATAAAAATAGTTAAGCAATATATATCTATATATCTATATCTACATATCTGTATATCTAATATATCTATATATTTCTTTTTGGACTGGGGATTGAATTTGGGTCCTTGCGCTTTTGAGGCAGGTGATGGAACCACTGGGCTAAATCCCTGACCCTAAGCAATTTTTTTTAAAAGCTGAAATTTTATTCTCTAAGGCAGTGGTGGCAAACCTATGGCACACATGTTGTGTTTTTCTTTTAAGACAAAAGATGTTAATGTAGATTTGTTTTTTCTAAACTAAAACCTCAGTATTTAGGTTTAATTAGCCCTTTGTGATAAATAAGTGGGCGTTTGAATTGCAGTGTGACATTCAGTCTCTAAAAGGTTTGCCATCAGTGCTCCAGAGTGATACCCTCTAACTTCTGGCTGGAATGTGTATCTTCTCTGGAAAAAAGTAAGAGGCCTTTAGAATTGTCACAAATTAGCATCAACAAAAGGTAAGCTCATCCTGAAGAAACAAATCATAGATAAGTGATAGATAATACTAAAACAAAGCCAAAAAATTTTATATTGGAATTATTAGCTATAAATATAAACTGTTGGTGACATTTTTAAAGAAAAACTTAAATCACAAAATTGACAAGAAATAAGAGACTCTTATAAGAGATTTAGAAGAGAACCAAATTATTTCTAAAGGTTCTATTTAGTTCTTTTTAAAATAATCATTAAAAGATTGATAAATTTGTCTACATGAAAATTCTTATCAAACAATATTATAAAGTAAGACAAGCCCCAAACATCAAATTTAATTAGATGAACTTCTACATTAGCAAAGAATAAATTTAAGATGCTTTTAGACTTTAAAAAAATAAAGTAAGACATGCCATAATTGAATGAAGTATTTGGAGTGCATTTAGGGAATGATGAAAATAGTATCCAGAACTTAAAAGAGCTTCTACGAGAGAAAGATAAGTAACAATTTTGAAAATTTTCATAAAAGATATAGGCAGTTCAAGAAAATGGGAATAGCTAGTAAGCATAGGAAAAAGTGAATCAACCTCATTTGCGATCAGAAATACAAATTAAAATCACAGTGGGATAGTATTTCACTCATTGTAGACTAGCAGAAATTAAGAAGTCTGACAAGGACCGAGAGATGAAAGGAGGGGGGAAAGAGAAGTAAAAGGGGATGGAAAAAGCATTAAGATATGTTAAGTACATGTACCAACTCCCCATGATGAATGTAATCATTATGTACTTCAAACCTGTAGTAATAAAAATAAAAATTTAAGAAAAAGAACTCTTACAGTGCCAACAATTTGTAATGTGTAAAGCAGAAGTGTTCTATAACTCATAATTCACAATAACCAAAAAGGTAGAACAACCCAGGTATCTATCAGCTGATGAATAAAATTTAGTATATCCTTACAATGGAATACTATTAACCAATAAAAAACAAAGTTTTATATATGTACACATCAACATAAATGAACCTTGAAAACGTTAACTGGAAGAAGCCAGACAAAATGCCACATACTGTGTAATGTACAGGATATTATTCAAAGATATCTTTGTCAATTTGTAGGTAAAAAATGAAATAACCTTTTTGCCATTACTAATGAATGTAAGTATTTTGTGGGTATTTCTACCAGTTATATTACTTAAATCATTGTCATTATTGTTTGCATAACTTAACTACATAAATTAATTTAACAAAGACTAAAAATAGTTTGCCCTTCCTCAGAATAATACAAAGGATCTTAAGCCAAGCATGGTGATACATGCCTGTAATCCTAATACTTGGGAGGCTGAGGCAGGAGAGTGCCAGTAGTGTGAGGCCAGCCTGGGCTACAGAGTGAGTTTAAGGCCAGCCTGACTATTTACGGAGATTCTGTCTCAAAAAAAAACAGAAAAAAAAAGATCTTAGAGTGCTTTAACTTTTATTGATTTCTCTCATTTCATTTATTATTGTTGTCTAGTATTTTAGTTCGGTTCTGTTTTAAACTTCTAAAATGGGCATTGCTTTTGTTTTACAGTGATTACTTCTGGATTTAATCACATGATTATTCTTTTATGCACACACTATCCCCGTTCCATTATATCTTCTTTCTGGGATCATTCTATTTATGATGGGACTACATTAGTGAAGTCTTATTGTTAGTAAATGTTCTAAGGTTTTATTCCTATTGTGAAATAACCTGCTTGACTACCACTCTTGCTTAACTATTTTAGTATAAAATTCTTTACTGACAGTTCTTTTCTCAGCCTTAGGAAGATACTATCCACTGTCTTCTAGCTTCTGTTGATTTTGAGAAGTCTGTCATCTGTTTCATTGTTCCTTTTGGAAGTAATTGGTGTTTCCTGTGGTTGCTTGTGAGATCTCTTTTTTAAGATTTTTTAAATTGATTACATTATTTTATTTCTGTTAACTATTCTTCTCCTCTCCCAGATCTTTTTAAACTTACCCCTTTTGCTTTTTATGTTGTATTTTCACGTACTGTGTATGTGCAGCATTTATATTGTGCGATTTAACAATTCTGTTTTCTGCCATGACGTTTCTTGCCTTTATGGGGCCTCTTATATAAGGATGAAGTATCCATAGCATTTTTTTCTTTTTTGTTCAAAGTCTAGGCCCAGACTGAAATGTTCCTTATCATTTTCCTTTTGATCATATTGGTTCTTTTTTTTCCCCTTTGAACTGTAAGTCTTATAGATCTACTTTTGTATAGATTTATTTCTAGATCCTGCTCTTCTTTGGCCCAAAGGACTTTTTTCTTTGAATTTTCGGATAAAGATGCAGACTTTTAGGCAATGAATGGCAGAAAATGTCTTAAATGTGGCTGTGACTTCAGAGCACATTTACCTCTCCTCTTTCTGATTCTCAATCATTGTGATGCCTCTGGGTCTTCTTTACTTTCTTTTAAGCTTTGTGTACTTTTAAAAGGATGGTTACTATATTTTCTTTAGCATTTGTTTTTTTTTTTCAAGAAATCTGATGTACTGTTTAAATACCAACAGTACAGAATCTTTCTATTTTTAAACATGCTAAATCTGCTTTTCTTTTTATGTCCTCTCTGAAGTTTAATTTTTCATTTAGAAGTCTCAACAATTTCTTGTTAAGCAATTTCCTTAATAATTCATTTTATTGGTATTATGAATAGAAATATTTTCTTTGATGACATTGTATAACCTATTAGTATATATCTGATATCTGGAAGTACTGTAAATTGATAATAACCATATAGAAATTTGCTCTCTACAACTTTT